CGCATTGCGCAAGCCAAACGGCCGGGCCCGTGCTCTCGCAGTCGGGGATGTGCTGCGTCATCGTGTCGGCCGGGTACTGGCGCAGCATTTCGCCCCTCATTTCCAACAGGTTTGCGTGCTTCACCAGTACGGCCTGAGCAGGCGCACCGGCACGGAGGAGGCAGTCAGCCGTCTGCTCCGCGCGGCCACGGAGGCATCCCCCTGCGCCACAGTTCTTTCCGTTGATGCTGTTGGCGCCTTTGACCAAGTCTCGCAGGGATCCATCCTAGCCGCCTTGTGCATTCCCGGCAGGATCTGCAACCTTTGTTCCCTACGCACGGCAGTTCTATGCCACGCCTAGCGTCTACACCTGGTTCGACGAATATGGCCACGCGCACGAAGTCTGTCAGGCCGAGGGGGGCGAGCAAGGCGACCCATTGATGCCGGCATTCTTATGCCTTGGCGCAGCACGCCGCGCTCGCTGACCTTCAGAGCCAGCTGGGTGACGGAGAGGCCGTCTTCGCGTTCCTTGACGATGTTTTTATGTTGTCTCGACACCCGAGCGCGCACGCACGCTCTACAATGCCCTCGCTGACGCCCTCTGGCACCGCGCGCGGATCCGTCTCCATGAGGGTATAACTGTATAACCATCGCCGATCTCTGCGGCGGGGGCGGAGCCGAACCCGTCTGGGTCGGGGAATGGTCTCTGCCGGATTGCCAAGCGCTGACCGCTCGGTTCCCCTCTCGGGCTGCCCGAGCCTTGAATGTCCTCCCCACCCGCGACGAGATCTCCATACCTGGCGCGCAGTTCCGGGTCCTGCTGCTTCGCCGCCTGCGGCTTCCCCTCCCCCTCGCGGAACCGCTCAGCCTGCGCTACCTCGGGCGTCCTCGCCACGCGCGCGCTGCCCCTCGAGCACGCTGTCGCGCGGATCTGTCGCGAAGCCGGTGCTCGCGTCGGTGCCCACGTCCGGCTGGCTGACATGAACCTCCATGACGACCACCCCCTCGAATAGGTGGTTGGTGGGGGGACGTGAGTAGGATTCCCACCTATTCTTCCTGGGGACGCGCCACCTATTTTTCCACCGTGGGGGGGGTTTGAGAAAATAGGTGGCGATCGATAGGTTTGGAGGGCTTAGATCGGAGTTCGTGGCTGTCCTGAACTGTTCCTCGCCCGGGATCGCGGTAAGAATAGGTGGTTGGATGGGGAGGAGTCTGGGTTTCGTGTCGCAGAGGCCACACAAACCGTAGGGTTCCCCCCCTCCGATCCACCCATATATTGTTCTGTGTGCCTGTTATCCGCAGCAACAAGAGTAACTAACAAGAAACTCCAGACTTCGATTGGACCAGGCTCGGATCCGTGTAGTATCTAGTAGTGCCATAGTAGGCAGGTAGGTTGGTAGGCAGAGTACAGGATACAGACTACACAGACCATGAGAAAATGGGTGGCGCCTACTGGGGTGAGTCTGGGTTTCGTCTAGCCGAAGCACACAAACCGTATGGTCGCCCCCCTCGGATCCACCCATATACTGCTATGTGCCTGTTATCTACAGTCACAAAGGACTCCAGACTTCCATTGGACCGGGGGTAGCCGTTGTAATATCCAGTAGGGGCCATGGTAAGTAGGTTGGTGGGTAACATTGGATACATACCACGATAATTAAATTCAGTGGCTGCCACAGGGGTGAGTTTGGGTTCCCAGCGAACAAAGGGTTTGACAGTGGAAAGAAGTGTGTCCAGCACCGTGGTCAGACCCCCCTTGCAATCCCCAGACCCGGAAATAGGTGGCCCACCTATTTGGGGGGACCCCCCACCTCCCCACCCCCGCGAAGGGGTGGTGCTCCTCCATGTACCATGCTGTACCGATTTCGGACGAGCGGCGCATTGAGGTTGTTGCCAACGGATTGCCTCTGTGGCATGGCTCGCAGCTCGCCCTGGACGCCACCTTCGTCTGCCCCCTCACGCGGCGCGGCGAGCTCCACCTGCTTGCCGACGCCCAGCCGGGAACCGCCGTGACGGCCGCTGGCCGGCGCAAACGACGCCAAACACACCCTAAGCTCGAACGAGCACGGCGCTGCCGCCTGGTTGTCGTTGGCCTGGAGGTTGGCGGCAGGTTTAGGGCCGAGACTGTCCAGCTGCTACGCCTCCTCGCGCGACACCGGGCCGCCGCAGTCCCGGCACACTTGAGGCCTTCAGCCAGTGTCGCCTGGATCTCGCGCTGGTCCGGCCTTTTGGCTGTCGCATCCCAGCGCGCCTGTGCCGCCTCGCTCCTCGAGCTCCCACCCGCGGCCGAGCTCGGCGAGGGACCCATGCCATAGCTGCATGAGGTCTTGGCCGACTCGCGCGGCATCAGGTGGCGCGTCGTGTGCACTGGGACCGGACTTCCCGAACCTCGGCTGTCGTAAACAGGCGCGTTGAAAAAACAACTCTTGCCGCTAATGCGTTGTCGCGACAATACTGGAGACAGCTGAGTCTCAGTGGTAACAATGCCATGAACATTTACATTGATGTTTCCAATGTTTTTGAAAGTGCTGGCCATCTTGTGTTTTCAGAGCATATAAAGCATTTGTCTTCATTGCGCCGTTGTTGATAAGCAGACCTGCCGATGAGGAAAGAATTTGACGTTCGGTGGCGAAGTTTGTGCCCGCCCAGCGACACGCTGGCATGTGCCCCGGTGACCAAGCGGCTTCCGATTCACCGACAATCGGCTGCCCTTGGCTGCGGCGGATCAACCCTCGTCGGGCCCGCAGGACAGCCTGACCGTCGGACCCTTCTTTGTGGACGCAAGTAGCGGTCCTGATCGTGGCGGTGGTTGCGGTAGTTGTGAGTTGTGATCATAGCTGCATGTTTAGTCGTGGCTGTAGGTGCTGTAGTTGTTGTGCGATTCATTCGTACTGTTGCCGCTAATGCGTTGTCGCAGCAATACTCGAAATAGTATGAGTCTCAACAGTAGCAACGACCATCAACATTTATGTAGATGATTGTAGATTGCGATCGAGCTGCTTTGTCACAGGCTTCTCATTGTCAGGACCTTTTCACTTTTCAATGTTTTTGAGAGTGCTGGCCATTCTGTGCTTTCAGAGCTTTCCGTCGGTGTTGTGACATGATAAGAGTCGTGGTTGCTGCAGCTCATTTTTAATCAGTAGGGGGGAGGGGAGCTGTAGTGAAGATGGTGCGTAAGGAATCCCGGGCAATCAAGGAGAAACTGTCTTCAGGATCCATGCGCCTTGAAGCCTTCAAGCAAACAAGGCTTTGCAAGTTTCACGTTGCTGGGAACTGTGTTCGTGGAAATTCTTGCAACTTCGCCCACAGCATTGACCAGATTCGTGATCAGCCGGACTTTTCGAAAACACGCCTGTGCGCAGATTACTTGCAGGCCCAGTGGTGCCGGGACGGGCAGTATTGCAAGTTCGCGCATGGAGAGCACGAGTTGCGCCCACATCCTTCCATCAAGAACAAGGAGCAAAAGACCAAAATCCAGTCTGAGGAGAAGCCTGTGGCCTGGTACACGGATGAGGGATGTGATGCATGCGAAGGGTGGTACTTCATGGCTGATGGCATGGATGGAGTGATGTATCCTTGGTATCCTGGATACTCCTTCGTGGAGTACCCCCTCGTGCAAGACGAATATGCATGGGACACGACAAGCCAGCAGAGCACAGATTGGACGGAGTGGAATGGGACCTCAAGCAACAATAGCATTGCTTGCATTGAAAGTCCGATCCAAAGTGGCTTGCTTGACCTTGGGAGCAGATGCCGCAGTATTGCACGGCTTGAGAGTGCATGCACGGCGCGAGGGTGTGCTGCATGGTGTGACTTAGGCCACGTTGTGGCATCGCCAGTTCTTCCCGATGATTCTCTTCTGCTTGATCCTGTCGGAGCGATGAACCAGTTCTCGGATGAGTTCCGAAGCTGCAATGCGTTCGTTTCTCCCATAGACATCGCCGCGACATGCTATTGAAGCCACTATGAATCAGGAGTAGAACTCTGCAGGATTTCCCCCCTGCAGAGCAGGAGATGCGAGGCAAATTAAGCGTTTGTCTTCTGTCGGTTTTGGGATGTCTTTCGCTAAGGCTCGTCCGTAGTTGTATGTTGGTGCCGTCGGTGGCACTTCTACCGAATGCATAGCTTGCAAGGTCTCCAGCCTTGTCTGTCTGCCTTCCATAGGCTTTTTCATGCTTTTTCCATCCATTTCAGATACACCCTGCAAACCATCCAGACAGGACGATGTCCACAAAATGCTAGATGCGGTTGAGGGCATGCGCCTTGGCATCTAGAACTGCCAGGCTCAAAGTCAAGAACACTTTCCTGCACATTGACATCGAGGATGATGACTTTGACGAAGAGGCCATGCAGAAACTGGACAGGGGACAATTGCATGCTTGTTGCTGCACTTGCAGGAGACACCGCCTGCTTCACTGGCTTCGTTGCGCCGCTCCCCAAGTGCCCCTGGTCGCCTGATGGCGCTGTTTCTGGGTGCCCCGTCCGATGTTATGCATGAAAGACTGTAGTAGGACCCACTTTGCATTGGCATGTTGCGTTTGCGTTCTCGACCATCTCAGGAGACGAAGATGAAGATTGAGCGATAGCTGGAGACACCAGTTTTGGCAGGGCAGCCTTTCCGCCCGGATTCTGGTGAAGACCATAGGGCATTAATGTATGGTCTTCACAACTTGGTTAACAGGATTTTGTTTGTAGTCAATGTTTTTGACAACATGTCAGCACTTGTACATACTGAATGCATCATACAGAAACCTGCTGTGCTCGACCATTTCGATGTTGTGCACAAGTCACCTGCTCAGCTGCCGTCTGGAGCCTTCCATGAGGCAGCTACAGATGGGCACAGTCGGCTTGCATGACCTGAGTTCCCACCGCGCTGCCCCACGTTTGAAAAACACGAGCAAATTTGCCGGATCTATCAGATTTCTCCAGTGGCAGGAACCAATTCCCACGCTCGTGTTGAGACTCGGCTCCTGTACGCAGCGTGCAGGTGGACATGAGACTAGCGGTGCGTGTTGCTGTGCATGGCGGCGATGGCTGACACCATGTTTTTTTCACTGGCTTCGGTGGAAGATCCCATCCGCGTTCTCGGACGGGGTGCTTTCGGTGAGGTGTTTTTGGTGCGGACAGCATCCCGGCAGAAGTTTATATTCCTATAGGACAGGAGGCACGGCAGGCCGCGCAGGCCAGTGCTTTCGGTGAGGCCTCGCCACACTCGCCGCCGCGCGCCGGGTCCTTCTTGGCACTGAGCCTTGGCTGCCAGGCTCTCTATTTCTGAGGCACAGTCCGCACAGTCCGGAGTGTGGGGGCCCGGGCAGCCGAGGAAGCGGGTTCGCCTGAAAATGTCGGAAGCCGGTTGGAGCAAAGCTGTGCTCGAAGCAGAACTCTTATCGAAACTGAGCAAGGAGTGCAGAGAGCACGAGATAAGTCTCGACTTACGGAAATGCAAGTTCAAAACTGACAGGAGAGCCCGTACATTCTTCAGTGTTACGATTTCCGAATGTTGCAAGAACCTGTACCCTGTCTGGAGCTCTTGCTGGAGACGCTTGGCCGATTTCATGCTTGGTTTCCTGCTGGATGGTATGGAGCACTCATGTACCGGATCAGAGCAGTCCATTTTCGCCGAAAACCAACTTCGGTTTAGTTGCTTGGATGTTGCGGGGCTTGAATACCCATCCCGGACGTCTATGAAGAGCCGTGAGGGGTTTCGGTTCAGGTTCGCGGCGCTGGGTGACCTTTGCCGACGGCTGCGGCAGTGCAAAGAGGCCTGCTGAAATACTTGCATGTGCATGTCATCCAAAAGCCGTGCAGGAAGGACCTGGCTGCCGACTTCCTCAGCCAGAGATGTTGAACTACACCCTGGACGTCGCACAAGGTTTGGCCTTCTTGTGACTTGCATACATTTGGACACCGCAGCGGACCTGCAGAAGAGAAGCCTGTGCAGTCAGGCACGGACTTCGGCCCAAGGTTTTTCACCGCGATGTGAAGCCAGCTAACATTATGACCCTTGGATGCACGATGCATTGCCGTGAGCGGCGTTGACCAGGGTCCCCATGGCAAAAAACCGAAGGTTGTGCCATCCAAAGAAGAGGAGCGACACGCCCCAAGCCAAGCTGGCGGACTTTGGAGTCGCCAAGGCCAGTCGTGCAGGATTCAGGATTCTTCATGCCCATGAGTAAAGTTTGCATCGTCCGACAGTTCCGACCCAGTCAGCTCACAAAACCCCCTCGCGGTGCCACTGCCACTATCGCGATTGTCTGAATCCACGTTTAGCGGTCTGCTTCCTCATGGCCCTATGTGCCTTTGTGTGGGATGCTCTGGGTGCATTCTGTTCGGGTCACTGTCGATCGTTGTGTCGGTTGTTGCCATTGCCATAGTTGGATTGAGGCATCTGAAGTGCTCAGCTGCAGGCATGAGTAACCTCACCATGAAAACTTTCACTGCACGGTAGGTCCTGGAATCGGAGGCTTCAACTGCCGGAACCGAAACATTTATTGGAACGCCACATTATCTATCTCCTGAAGTTTTTCGTGGCGAAGTCTATGACGAAAGGGCCGACTCTTGGGCACTCGGGTGTGTGATTTACGAGATGATGTGTCAAGTGCGACCTTTTCATCGATTCGAGAGCAATGTCGCGCTGCTTTCCTTGCGAATATCGCAGGGAGATTATGACCGTGACCTGCTATGGCAACAGTCGCACCAACACTCTGAGACGCTTCTGCAACTTGTGGAGGGTCTTTTGGAGGCCAATCTGGAGGATCGCCGAAGAGCAGCTGATCTTGTTCCGTGCTGGCCAGAAGTGCTTGCATCCTGCAGGGATCAAAGAGAGGCAAGTGCTCCATCGTGTTGGACGGAAGTACCGACGGATCCAGAGCCGTCTGAAACTGCGGCTGCGTCTGCGCTGTCCTTCGACAGTGAAAGCTGGCGCCATGCGGAGATACCGACGGATGGTGGCTCAGATCGCACCTGTCGGTTACGAACTCTTTGGTTCTAGTGCCCTTGCACAAGTAGGAAGTGCCTGGCGTACAAAACTGGTGGCTGCCGCGAGCTAGGCTATGCCGGCGCTGAATCAAAGTAGAGGGGAGCTTGTCTGTGGTTTTGCTAGCAAGTTTTGAGTGGATGGGTGAGGGCGCTTATCCCCCGGCCCTTTGATGCCATGCTGCAGGCATTGCTGAGCTGGAGGCGGTACTACAAACCAACCCTTACACTTTCGGGATGCAAAGTCAGGCAGGATTTGTGTGCTGCAGGTCTAGTCTGTGCTGCCAGGTTCATGCGGTCCATTACATGGAATGCTTCAGGTGCTGACAATGCAACCTGACCCTCACCACGAGTCGCGCTTTGGTGGTATGGACATCCTGGATTCCCAGCAGCTTCTCTTGAGACTTTCGTGCGTTTCGTCCCTGGCCGTTTTTTCAGAACCTGAATGCGGTTTTCATGTCTTCCGCCTGCTTTGTTCCTGGCGGCCGGCGGTTTGGTTTGCTAACGTCGTGTTTTTTGAAGCACCCTGCTGATCTCGCTGCTGAAGCATGCCTTCTTGTAAATGTATCGTGCGCTAGCTGCTCGTTTTCCTGCTGAGGGAATGGTCTATCTGCCATATTATTAATATGCTGCTTGGGTTACCGTCCAGACTCGTGTGGTCAAAAGTTTGAGGGTATGGAGGCGTACTACCCTTCAAGCGGCACGGAGGAGGCGATCAGCCTCCATACACAATCAGCCTCCGCCCGGGGTCCGCCTGAATTGTCGGGTTGTCAATTTGACCGGCATGCAGCTTGCTGATGCTTGTCTTGAGTCCGAGGTACACGGTTCGAACTGTTGATGTGGCTACAATCGCAGATTGCCTGCCGGCTGATGTGAGCCAGTCGGAAAATGTCGGAGGAGCGGGAGGTAGGTCATGTATGTGCATATATATATATATATACGGATTTATATGTAGAATATATACTTATTCTTTTGTGTGTGCTGGTGTCATTTTTTTGACAATGTACGGAAGCCGTGTTTGCTTCAAGAAATGCGCCCTCGCATTTTTGCCATGATGGCACTCAGAGAAGGCCTGACTTGACTGCACGTCATATCTGCATGTTTCAAGATCGCGAGCCTTGAGCGGGCAGACCTTGAAGCTCACCGCCCTTAAAGACGGCGCAACCTCAATGCTGGCAGAACCAAGCTCAGACAACGATTTTTGCTGCCGTCGAAGTGTTCGTGTGGCATTGCACTTTATAGATGCACGAAGGCACAAATCAAAGCCACGTGCATGCCTCAGAATGTGAAGTGCTGTCTTGCACCCAACCAGGAGCGCTTGCTTTCATCCTCTTCGCTCTGCTTGCAGTGCAGATCAGTGCAGCTTCGTTGTAGCGATTTCTGCTCATCTCGACCCTGACGGTTTGCTGTTCTCGGTTTGCCAGTCATGTTGTTGGTGTGCCGTCATGGGCCCGCTTCCGAAGAGAGACGAGGAAGGCAAGCAGCAGGAGGCAGGTAGTGCTTTACAGGAAAGAGACACGAGTGTCCAACTGAGTGCTCGGGAGGCCAGCCTGATTGCTTCGATTCCACCAACCCTGGGGCGGCCAGAGTGGAGCCAGAGCGTTGACTTCGTGTCCTTGAATGGACGATCCTCAAGTGCTGGTTCCTCGGACGAAGACGGTCATGGCGACGTTTTGACACCCGGGCTTGTGCGATTGCGCGTGGGGGCTGCCACGGCAAGGAAGAGCTTGTAGAACACAGAGCTAGATTCAGCTAGATGCGGGAGTACAGAGGAGGAGCGAGGCCCACTGGGTTAGTGAGGCAGAATCCCGTATGCAGGACCGGGGCCAACCCCCACTGAAGTTCAAACTATGCCTCGAGATGCGATGAACCAAGTGCTCAAGGCCCTGCAATCGAGGGATGGGGCCCTAGCACTAGGCTTGCAAACAAAAACCAGACAAGCTGTGAAGTTTCAAGCCTGAGTGTTGGACGTTTGAGTCGTGCCCAAGCTTCTGGCTCTTAGGACGATGCCTTGGCGAATTTCAGGACATGGCTCACTGCCTCAGTCCGGCACTGAGTTGACCGGAGCAGAGCTCGCAGGGTTCTGTGCTTGCATTCGCGAGGAAAAGCGTCGAGCAGCTCCGAGAAGCTCCTTACCTTGCAACGCCTCTGCGAGACCTTGCAAGACGGAGGTGCACGATGATGCGCGATTCTTATGATGCGTGATTCTGTTCTGCTCCGCAACTGGGAACCTGCGTTTTTTCAGGGCACGATGCAGCCGAGCGTGCCTGTGCTGCTGGCACGGTAGAGGCGAACTGCTCTTTCGTCATGCAGCCGATGTGAGATGGCACGAGCAAGAGCAGGTGTCACTTGGGCTGCTGCGTGCATGCGAAGGCGACGCCTTTCTTGCTGTTGGCTTTGTCTTGAATTTTTCGTGCGTTCTCTGAGTTTCATCACCATCGCGCTGCAGCGCGGAAGTCCTGGATTTAGGTGGCATTTAGCTCGCCGCAAGTGCGATGTGTTTGGGGATGCTGGCCGGGCGAGCACAATCAAGCCTGTGGAAAAAGGTGGCTAAATGCAAAGTCTTTGTGGGCATTGTGTGTACACGAGCAAGCCACCTTTTTCCACTTGTCTGTGAGCCAGACCGCTAGCCAGCGCCAAGCTTGCTGCTTGATTGTCTTGCCGTTAGGAGGTCGCAGGTTCTCGGCGCAGGGTCATCGAGGTTTGGGGAGGATGCCGTCACTTTATGTGAAACGTATCGGACACCGGAGGACTGCAAACTTGTGATCATTACTGATTACATCCACAGCTGGCTCAGCGAGCAGAGCAAAAAAGCTGTACGAGGCAAACCAGGTGTTGATTGGCGTAAGGACGCACGCGTGTACAGGCAGGTCTCCAAAGCCATGGTTCTGCGATGTTCTGCGAATCCCAAGAACTTTCGTCTTTGTGGCAAAGCATTGCAAAGACGAGACGTGGCAGCAGCTGTCCCGGAGTCTGCTATTCCTCTCCATCGCTTCATCCATTCCAATAGCATCACGTCGTGCCGCAAAGCGCGATGGGGCGGCAGAGTTTCCGCAGAAGAAACTTCACACTCTCCTGTCCAGTTGGTGCAAGCCAGTGGACGTTGTCTTTGCGGTGCTGACGACTAATGCAATCCAATTCTGCATGACTGGTGCCGCAGTTTCTTTTGCGTTACAGACGCTCCCTTGCACCCAGCGTTGGCTGTTTTCGGCTAGCAGATCATGCTCATTATTGGCAACGCTTTTGATAAAGCGCTGCAGATTCTTGCAGCGAATTTGGTGAGCCTGATTTGCAGTCCTCAGTCTTACGAGCGGGTCGACGAAAGGAGCTGACGAGATAGATAAATTGAATGCACCCGAACGGAGTGGCAGGGCACTGAAGACTTCCGGTGGTCAAAAGACCTCGCCCATCGATACCTGAATGTTACAGTGATGTCCGAGCTCAAGATGCAAGGAGTACACCATTCCATGCCGATGTCCTAGAATGGCATCCAGATGCGCGACCAATGCGGTGGATGGACTACCATCATCAGGCCCAAAATGCGCGGCATTGGAAAGGTTCGTGAGCCGCCAGCACGAGGCAGGTTGTTGTCTATGTATGGGCAAACTAGCAAACTTGTATGAGAATGATGCTTTCCAATGTGTTGTCAGTGCCTCGCTTGTGGGATTGCGAAGTTTTGATTGTGCGACCTGCGAGGCAACGGCGGAGAGCAGGTATCTGCAGCAATCTCGGTCAGGCAACTCCGTGAAGACAAACGTTGCACTCACGAGTTCGTTCGTTGGGGCTTTTGCAGCTCGTTCGGGTCTGGCGTGCATTTAGACTTTAGACATCATATAGGAAGTTTCCTCTTCCCGCCATGTCATTTATTGCGCAGGGGAAGAGAACAGGAGAGCTATGGGTAAGCCGGTTGTTTAACACGACGCGTTGTCAGGGCATGTTTTCGGTGACGGTGCTTGAACTCGCCTAGGTGTTTTTGCACATTTCAGGGTTTCGGAGGGGTGGGGGGCGGGAGGGGTAAATAACGGCATTTGTAGTTGAACCAGTGGCATCCAAGCTTCCATCTTGACCTTGAGGTATCTCTCTTCACCTCTCCTGAGTTCTAAAGGCTCCGGGCTGCTCAGGCCGCCTAATCCCATCATTTTCCAGCACGTCTACAAGGTCTTCGCGTCCTATTTTTGTGCGTTCGCTCGAATTTCCGAGCAGTCTTGGGGGGGTGGGGTGGTGGTGGTGGGGGGTCTACAATGACATGCGGTTTCCGCAAATATCAAGATGACTGCATACAACTGCGCGTGGGCTCCTGGCCTGTCCTCTGGGAAAAAGCTGCGTGCGAGCCTCTTGTGCACATTGGGCAGAACAAAAGTTAATTATGTAACGAGATGGAGTCTTAGAGAAGCAGTCCTGAGTTGCCAAACCTGCCTTACTTAGGCAGGGCCAGGGATTTAAGCTTGAGGCAAGAGCTGAAGTTTTAAACCCAGGCGAAGAGTTTAGTCCAGCCTCTGGTGTTTCGCGCACCTGCCCGGTCAGCATTTTTTACTGAATTTATGCTCTCGCTGTGGTTTCCCACGAATCCACGTAGAACTCCTCATTCTGAAATGTGTAAAAACACATAGGCGCGTACAGGCGCTGTTGCCATGTGTTTGGTAGGTCACGAAAGCTAGCTCTTTGTTGTCGTTTACCAATCACTTAGTCTATAGTTAGTAGGGAACTAGGTGAATCTAATCGTGTCCGGTGCCTGGTCTGGCCCCTTCTCACTACTTAAAGGGGGGAGGGGGGGAGGCCCACGCCACCGCGCAAACGATTATTGATTCAGAGCCACGAAGGACCCCCACCACAATGTGCAATCGAACAAGGTTTGGGGGGGCTCTCCCTCCTCCGCTCCCGCCCTTCACCTGAAGGTCCATCTGTTTAGGCTGGCAATTTGTGTATTGCTTTTACGTGGCCGAGTGCGTCCATGTAGTACAAGTCCAATGCCTCAGTACTTGGCTAAGCAACCAGGGCCAGTATGAAGCAGAATACGCTATCCTCTTGCAGTTTTGAGGCTTCATGGCACTATATATATATATATATAGACACATATTTATACACGCACACACACACACACATATATATATATATATATACATATGTACATTCATATTTATGTTTATGTGTAGGTCTGGGTACACACACATATATGTATATATATATATATATATACATACTTATAGAAAAACGCAACACCCTTGCACAGTCCTATCTTACAATATGGAAAAGGGAAAGCTTCAAAACTCGGGCCTGCAGTGCGACGCTTTCTGTATTTATATTGTACATATTTACACGTATATGTTATGTGTATGTATAATATGTATATGTATTTGCGACCGCCGTCGCACGTGCTCCTGATGAGTTCTCGGCCATTCCTGGAGGCGCGCGGAGCTTGAAACTGGTCAGGCAGGAAGACCGACGATTCTCAACTCGACGAGCTCTGGCGGTAAAGCCAGCTTGCGAAGGCAAGTTGGCTCTCTCGGGCCCTGAGTGGAAGGGGGCCCGCCTCCCTTGGGCTCAGGAGAACGCTGGGGATGTCCTCCGGCTTAAAGGTTTTGGTTTGCGAGCAGCGACATCAGCTTGGCAGGCCAGCCAGGCATCAAGTGGCCCTGGGTCACCGGCAGCGAGGCAACCATTCGGGCAGCTCCTCGACGGCTCGACGGGATCTCTCGGCGCACGGTGGCGCGTCGGGTCATCGGCCCAAACCAGAGTAAAGGTCAGCTCCAAGCATCACCGACAGGGACCTGCGCAACAGGGCGTTGAGTGCAGGGCTCGAGGATCGGCCTTTCAAAGCGCAGGCCAATGCCACTTGACTGTCAAGCAGGGCGAGCAGCCGTACAGAGCAATGATTGGCTGCTACCTGCCGTTCGAGCTGGAGATAGGCTTTACGTTCTTTCAAGTTTATGTGTTGCCCGTAACGACCATTAGAGACAAAGAGAGTGGTATCCTCACAAACTTCCGCCACAGCAGGTGTGAAAGATTCTCCTTCCAGCAATTCCAAGTGAAGACCCCAGCATCTGTCGAGCCCGCAGAAGACCCTTGAGGAAGGAGCCGAGACCAGGCTCCTTTCACGAGGCAATGGCGGTAAGCTTCCTTCGCCACTGGCGTCGGCAGAGGGGCGGACACAGCCGCCAACAAGCGGTCAGAGGCGTCCGTGGCGTGGCGAACAGGCTGTCGAAGACTGCGGCCCGCAGGCTAGCGACGCATATGGACCCCACAAGGACCACAAGCACCCAGCTCCAAAGTTCATCAACTCAGCTGGGACTCAGGTGCAGAACGTGAGTCTCAGGAGTGCCCCGGAGGGCGGCAAAGCAGAGCTCAGGCACCGTCAGCGCAACAGGAAAACCGAGGTCCAAGACCCGACAAGACTCTGCAGCAAGCTGTGTGTCACCGAGCCCAACGTCGCGACACGAGCCGTGATGAAGGAGAGGGGCCAAAGGCGACCGGAAGCGGTCCGGAGCAGCCCTCACCGGCCATCAAGATGTGAACCCCAAACCTGGAGAGAGGAGGAGTCCCGAGATCCCTTTTCCAAGTTGGCCTCCAGCTAGGCGTCCGAATAAGCACGATGGGCAACATCAAGCCGGCGACTGTCGGGTCGGCAGGAAGGGTCCAAACAACGCTCCAATATGATAAGGTCAATGACGACTCCCACCGACAGCAAGCCTCTCGCAGGAGGAAAGGTCGGCAAAAGGAGCTCCTGAGGTTGCAAAGCTCCATGATGGTAAAGCACGGCAAGATGACTCCCTTGAGCAAACTCGCAAGCAGAGGAGTCGCCCATAGCAAGGGTGGAGAGTCCCACCCTGACCTTGCCGTCGGAGCCAACAAAGCCTCCGCAATCATAACCAAAGAGCTCACGGGCCTCAGCAGGAGTGAGGGATCCCTTGATCCATTCCGCTCAAGCCGTTGTTGGGTGATGCTGAAGGAGTAAAAGAAATCCCGCAGGTCGGCGGCATTTATGCAGAGACACTCGCACGGGTCCAGCACAATCTGGAGGAGGGCTGAAGAGGAGCTCAGAGAAGAAGTCCAAAAGCGAGGCGGCTGCTCCAGGGTGTTGGCAAGAATCAACGGGTCACGCTTTATGTCAATGAGGACCGAAAAGAGGCCCGAGGCATAAGGCAGCGAGCCGGATCAACACGCACAGTCGCCGGCCGACCAGTGGCAGCGAGCTTCTTAAAAAGGCCCGGGCGCTCAGCAGGAGAAGCCAAAACCTGAACGCGGGGCGGTGGATGTTCTGAAGGATTGGGCGGCAGGGCAAAGTCAAAGGGCCGCTGGAACCGCGGAAGGGTCGCCGAATCCAAAAACCGGCTGGGATCGAAAGTGGGGGCCCCAATAAAGCGGAGCCGGTCGGCTTGTATGGATTTTGCAGCAACCAGCTCAGCACGTTCAAAAGGGCCGAGGGGAGGCCTAGCCAGAGCGCAGAGAGCGCAAGGCGAAGCAGGCACTAGGACTAGGACATGCAGGCGTAAACCGAAAGGGGGAGGGTTAGGGAACACCTAAGCACACAGAACACGGTAAAACCCCGGCCCTTGGAAGTAGGCCGCGGCGCAGGAGCAGGGAGCACAGCAGCGCGACTGCCTCAACCACGGGCAAGAGCAGCACTCCTACCCCAACCCCAAGAAAGAAGCTGCCTAGGTCAAGGCGTTCAATGACCGGACAGGAAGGACAGGAGTCGAGGAAGGGAGGCGGGCTAGACAAGAGACGCCAGACGACCGATGCGAGAGACACCGAGGAAAGAGAAGAGGCAAAAGCAACTTCTCTTGACATGGACCTTGATCCGAAAACTTAAGGTACAGCCGTAAAACATGGGAGCTCATAAACATATACATATACATCGCTTTCGCTTTCGAGGCAATGAATCCTGGTCGGATGCAGCTTAACGAAAAGCGCCTAATTAGAAGTGAAACAAGAGGAAAGCTCGCCAACACCGGGGAAGTTGGCGAGGAGCACAAGTCCAGACAGCTCAATCCGATGCAGAGCCAGCCGTCGCACCGCATCAAGTCCAGGACACACGACGTGGGTAGAAAGGAGGAAGGCAGGCTGACCAGCAAGCCAAAGCGCGACAACTCCTCGGACACTGTCGGCGAACAGTCGAAGACGATGAAGATGCGGTTGCAGTTGGCGGAAGGATCAGAGAGGAGCCGGGACATCAAGGCTAGTAAAAAGCCCATCAAGACAGAAGCCGCTCATCACAGGGCGTGAGCCAGCACACCAAGCATTCACGTCAAAAAGGTGTGGTTCCACAATGCAATGGGCATGCAGGACAACTTGCCATCAACTAGGGACAGGGCGGTCCCGAATGTTGGGGCCAGCCGCACAAAATGTAAGGGCAACCTGCTGCACAGAAGAGCGTGGCGTGATCTGCGGGGATCGGCAGCATGTGGATATGTGGAGTGCCCCGGTGCACTCCGACGAGGATCAGCTGCTAGCCAGTCCACAAAATCGACTGCACAGAGAAAGCCGGCCAAGCGAGTGTGCCAGGCAGCCCATTCAATGGGAACTTCATCGCAGCCGTCAAGCTCCTGTGCAACAGGCAGTGGCGGTCGCATGCAACCGGGAGCGCTGCCTGGCGCCCTCCGATCCGATCGCCTGAGCAGCCACTCGGACTGCCTCACTTGGCCCAGGGCCCAGGGTGTTTTTGACAGGCGAAGGCGAGACAACCGGTTTGTTGTGTGGGTTGGTGTGACTGTGGGCAGCCTCCCTTGCAGCATCCCCTACTACGTCGTCGCGCCTGGTTCGAGCTACTGCTGGCGCCTGCCGTGCCTCGCTGCCTACCGCGAGGCCGACTCACTTGGTTTGTGCCGAGTCGACCTGTGCCGCTTCGGATCCGCTTCCCAGCGGTGCGTCCGCGTCGCCTGCAACACTTACCTTGCTGGAGCTCGCCTGTTCTGCCAGTGTCAGGCGCCCCTCAGGGTTAGAAGGGTTAGGTTAAGGAGGTCGGGTCTCGATAGGCCTAGCTCTAGGTGGTCTCTGTCCAGGGCGTTCTCTCATGAGATCGCTCTCGCCATCGCTCGAGGTTGCCACTGGTGCACGGCAAACCGGTGATGTTGCTCAGCTTGTGGCCCTGCGACCTCCCTTTGTGTGTGCAGCCATTGCGCGAGTCGGCTCTGCAAGGCCCGGTGACGCACTGAACCCTGGCCCCCGGCGAGCCTCGGGTCTGGAAGCACGGCCCTTGGTAGGTCAGCAATCTTTGGGTTTAGGCGAACAAGCATGGTCGCCCTTCCTGTCTTGCTCTTCCTCCCGTCTGTCGTCTGACCCTGTCCAGCTCTTTAGTCGAAGCGCCGCGCTCCTCGCCATGGCTTTGAGGGCCTACGGCCACTGGCTCTATGGCAACGACGGTGCTTTGCAATCGCTGCGCCACACCCTGCTGGCTGCACAGCGGAAGTGCCTGGACTTGAAGCCTTACGCCAGGATTGTCTGGGAGCTGATGACGAGGTGCCTTCTGACGACTTGTGGGATCAGAGCACAGGGGTGTTCCTTGGACTTGGCGCCTCTAAGACGGCTACTCGTGGGCTGTTTCCTCTGATGGGCTGGAGGCCTCGAGCACACCCGTCACCGAAATCCAGTGGCGGATGCGGCTCAAACATCTTCACAATTTGGAGTCTTATTTCCAAGAGCTGGAAGCAGTTTCAGCGGTGGCTAGTTTGGACAGTTCGTCCTCTTCCACAGTGCATGCCGCCGCTGCTGTTTACGATGCTCTGGCTCGTTCTCTAGTATAGTTCCTTGAGCCCGCGCTCGAATACTCCGCACAAGCCTGCAGGCTTGGCGTACGCGCCGGTTCCCGGCTGGCCCTTCTGACGAGTGGAAGCGGGGCTTCGCGAACTGGCTTCAGCTGCAGCTTTGTCTCTACCCTTGATCGCTTTTACCGCTGCTTTTGAGGCTGAGGCCGACCGTACAGGTTTGCGGCCGACCTTCGTCACTTGAAGCGGTGCGGAAAAGTCATAGCGACTCGAGCTTTTGTGGGGAAGCCAAGTACATTATGTTTATGTTTATGTCTATGTATATGTACATGTCTATGTGTGTGTGTATATATATATGTATACCGGTAGATATATGCATCCACGCTGCCCGAGCTCTATCGACTCTGGTTCCTTTTTTTGCCCCAGTTTTCGTGGCCTCTTATCAAGTTTGTTGATTCCTCAGGGTCTGTTGAGACTAGTTCATGGAGATGTTAGTTAGAGTTTTTGACGCTTTCTATGATGGCACAGGTGGTTTCGCGCTTGCTGGCAATGCCTTCTCAATTCAGAGGTCCCGCAACATGTGCTCCTTAGCCCGGTATTAGCTGATTAGACGGTTTCAGCTGGGCGCATTCCGTTTGGATGATGATGTCTGATTTTGCGCCTCGAGAACCTGTTTGTCTGATCTGGAGTATCGTGTGGCATGCCAAAGACAATGCCAGTCGCAGTCACAGATTGAGCCGAGCCTCCTAGTTAGCACTCATGTCCAATGTCTTTCCTTCATCAGGCAGAACAGTGACTAAAGCAGCGGACGGGTAAATGACAGCAGGTGGTGCATGTGTCGTCGGTATGCACTGATGAAATGCCATGCATGTTCTCTCTTCGAAGTTTTCCGAAATGCAGGTTTGCAGCGAACTCTACTCTGAGGCAGAGACTTCAACTACGGTGAAGAGTGATGCCTTCGAGATCGAAGTCCGCAGTAACCAGGCCGACGTGTTCTCACCGGCCTCGGTCGATTAGCCTGTCAGCGCTTTTGGTTGTGTTCTTTTCTTGCTCCGGAGGATGGTGAGATATGGTGAGCCCACGAAGGAGGAATCTGGAGAGCTACCGTGCCGTCGAGGCCGGTTTCTTGCTGAGTCATCTATTCCGTTCGCAGTGATTGAAAGTACTCGTCTTTGCTTTGCGAAGCCGTCTTTGACTCGAGGCGCTGTGATCGAGCTTCCGGAGGTTTCGCGAAGCCGCCTTTGCTCGTGCGTCGACTCCTCTGTGAAGGACATGGGCACGTGTGCAAGCTGTGCGCGTTGATGAGTTTCACTCTATTGCTTGCATAAGTCTAGCACTTGCTCGCTAGTTGCCACAGCCGAGCAGTTGGCACAGAAGCCACAGAACTGCTTGGTACAGAGTCTCCTCCAAGCGTAAAAGCTAGCACGGAACGTGCAGTGCTCCAAGTGGTGCATTTTTCCTTTGCTTGGTTTGTTCGGTTTCGTTGTGCTTGTCCAGAACACCAGAACAACGCGGGTCCGCCCGGCTGGATCTAGTTGTTCGGGGAGCCTACAGTGGAACGCATGCGGAGGTGGAGCGCCTCTCCTAGTTCGCACAGTGGAAGCCTTGTGGTACATGGCCGATGACTACGAGAGCTTCGCCCTTGTGCAATGTGTTCCGCAGAGACGTCTGTCTGGATGCATCCTGCCGTAACGACCAAGACATCCGTTTGACCTGACTCAGGTTGCCTGAAGATTGTGGATCTGAATGGCCATCAGCTTCTGTGCCAGCTGGCCCGGGAGCATGGTCAGGATAACCCGGATGCAGCAGGAGGTATCTTCCGGCTGTTGGCTGAAGCTTTCTCGCAGATGGCAAAGACTTTCTGCAGTCTGCCATGCATTCTTGCCGAAGCTGAGGAGACGTTGTACACCGAGCCGAGGCCAAGAGATTGAAAACGAGTGCTCTGCTCTCTGCTCTGCCGTGTGTCGGAAGGTCCTCGCGTCTCTGGGGAGATGCACTGGATGCCAACCTCTTGGTCGCAGCAGTCAACTGGGCCGTCCAGCAAGCAGGCTGCAGCCTGGGTCTCGGCGTGAGCACGGAATGCGATCGCGTAAGCGTGCAGCATACCCCCAAGGCGACCCAGGGTGCTCCACGACTCTGGGGTTTGTGTGTGCCGCCTTCTTAGTTTTTGCCCACTGTAGCATTGCATAGCGAGCAAGCCCATATTCAGCCTAGGATGTCGCTGCGCTGTGGTTGCAACGTGTTCCTGACAAGGAGGCCTTCAAGTACGTTGTAAGTGCAAAGAAGCGAGTCCGTGCATTTCCTCACCCGCCCCTTCCCCCGCCATCTTCCATCCCAGCGTCAGGCCTGCTCAGCACCCCTCTGCACCATCCCGCATGTGCTTTCACCTAGTTTACCCACTACCGACGTCACGATTTTCTCGTTGTTTCTGCTAGTATCACATCAAGACGGAAGACAGGTCTTTCCATCCGAACAGTTCCTTGATGAGCATATGCTTGGTAGGAATTTTTGCGTGTTTCACGTCAACGTCGCTTCGGGAGGTCTTCTGTCCAAATGTGGTGACCAAGCCTCTTGCAAGATGTACCTGAAGCAGATCATGACCATCAAAACCCGAGAAGAGACTCTTGTCATCAAAAGGTAGTTCAAACCGAAGGCGCTGACTGACCTTTGGTACTCGTAGAAATGGCCGTGGCGGCAGAAACTAGCAAGCCCGACCTGAAACAGGCACAGGGTTCGCCACCCATCTTAAGCTGCGTGCTGAAGAGAATTGGCTTCAGCCAAGGCTTTGAGACAAACCTGGTCCTGCCAGGCTGCAAAGCCGTTGATAAGCATTGTCCCACAGCTGCTGAAGATCATGGCCTTTCGCTTGGACGATGCTGCCTGCCTGCAAGGGCGACAGAAGACTAAGTGCAGACAGTTGGACCCTGTGAGCTGCTGACGCTGCACCGTGCTTCTGCTCCAGTTCGTGCGCTCTTTCACTTTGACGCGGGTTTCGGAACTTCTCAGTTAGGATTTGGAAGGCCTTGTTCTTCGTCGGCTTCCGGATGGACTTGTTCTTTTGAAGATCAGTTTTTGGCCTTGGGGGTCGAGGTGCTGGTTGCTGGTCTTCTAATCAAGCTGAGTCAAGCTTCTCACCACTGCCACTGTACAGTGCGGAAGGCTCCATTCGGATGCCTACAGCAGCTCTAAGCTCTCAGTCAACACCACCCGTGCATGACGACCTCAAGATGGATCCAAACATCTTGGGTGCCGACTCGGGCTGCAAGACAATGCAGTGCATCGAGCGCACCATTTTCATTATCTTTAAAGCTTCCGCCAGAGCCCTTCAAGCACACCTTCTGCATGCACATCCATCCCTCCCGCCGGCAGCTGAGGTGTTGCTGCTGCAGCATGGCTTTCGCTTGTTGTGGGCTTTCGCTCACAAATCGACAGAGTGGCCAGAGGCTTCGAACGAACGGTCTTGAAGCATCTTGCTGAACCAGGCTATGCCGGTTCATGTATCGAGGCTCTCCGACAACCGACAATATCCGCCCTGCAGCAGCTGCGAGTATTGGTGGAAGCCAGGCCTCGTTGCAAGCGAAGCCATGCGAAGCTTAAGTTGGTTCTCTCTGTGAATTGGTGAGTTTGAAACCACCAGGCCGTCCGCAGCACCAAATGCTATTCACTACAACGCGATGGCCTTGCAGGCCAGAAGAGAGAAAAAGAGCATCCGAAGCTTTGGGCGATCAGCACGATGGCAGGCGATTTGTGGGCTCGCGCCATGCGCGGCAGCGCAAACAAGCCTGGGTTTGGACAGCATGGATTGAAAAAAGGGGTTTTGCATGCATGTGTTGTGCTGATGCATCTTGAGATGTGATGCTTGTGCTTTCGTTCGGTATCTGAGGGCTCGACCCGTGAATTACGGCGACTTCAGCCCGTAGAAGACTTACATGCGTTTCAAAACCTTCGATTGAAGCCCGAGTCCATTCGTATCGCGAGGTGCTTGACGGTGACGGCGGTTGCAGGTGCAAATTTGCAGCATGAGCGACTAGGTGGAGCACTGGCTGCCGCCTAGGGGGCCACGCTGACACTGCCTCTGGCAAGCTGGCTTGGTACCAAGCGGTGAAATGTCTGCAGACGAAAGCAGGTGTGGTCGTTTGTGCGAGGGGAAGTGCTGCAATATAGATCCTTGTAGCACTGAGGGTGGTGCGGCTCGTGCAGGAGGTTCCGTATGTACGTCGCATGTGTGTCGGAGGACTAAGTTGCGGCCTACAGGAAAGACTCACTGGAATTATCACCGAGATTCACGAGGCCATCCTACGGCAGAGTGGCGGAAGCAGGGGCTGGGACTGTTCAGAGTGGCGGAAGCAGGGGCTGGGACTGTTCTTCGTGTCCGCGGTCTCTCGATGGCTTCAGTGCAGCTTCTGTGGCCATCAATGGCTTAGTGTACATATCTGCTGTAGATGCCTGAGCCACCTGCTCTCCAGCGCATCCTGTGCTGCTGCGCGACCGGCACTGCCCTGCACGGCCTTCGCCTCAGGATGCCTTGTGAGGTGATGGTGTAGTGTAGACTTGAGATTCGAGGTGCGCCAGGTGACAGAACCCAGACTGTCAATGAGTATTCTTGGCTCGGCCATGAGCTCGGTTAGATGTCTTGCTGAGTCTTTCTGTCAAGACCAGCGACTACCCTAGCCTTACACTTGCAAGCCTGGAGGCCTCCGGGGCTGCGTCTGCTGTGGCGTCGGCGGCTTCTGCTGCGACCAGCGCTGTTTTCGTGGTGAAGGACTGTAGTTCTACAGCCGCGAGCGATGGTGCGAAGATGCAAGACGATGGAAGCCGTTGCGCAGGAACGCGCAGCACAGGCGGCGCTGTTCTCAATCTCGCTGCAGTCGTTATGTTACAGTGGGTGCATGCGCAGAGGAGAGAGGCATCTGGGATTGTTAGGGCTTTAGAACGAGCTTGTTCATGCAGTGCCAGGTGGCACCAGCAGCACCTGGTGTGACGCAGCTTGCAGCAGGAGCAGGTGCCAGCCATGTAGCGGGGCCTTTGCCTGCAAAGGGAGTATGTTGAGGTGAGAGATGGTGAGACCCATGATCCAGCCGCCCTCGTGTCGTTTTGGTTTCATCTTGCTTTGGACACGACATGCCTGCAACTGGAGTGATTGAAGATGAGCAAGGGGCGGCTTGTTGAAGGAAATATTGACTTGGAAATTGTGCCCTAACTGCCTAACTGCTGCTTGCGCAGCAACACATGGCTTTCGCTCGCTTCTGCCGGCGGCATGAGAATCTTGCCACATCTACTTTCCATGGCATGTCGTTTGGAAGCTTTTCTTCCAGTTGGCGCCGCAACACAGTTACCTGTAACTCTCTCAGATGTTCTCAAGATGATTGGGCCTTCATTGCTGCTGCAGTGTCTCTGATACGTGCCTGTCATGTGTTGAGTTGTGTTGAGTTTAAATGTCATGCTGCCTCCGTACATCTCCGGGGAACCGCGAAGCACCGCATAACCAAACACCCGACACTGCCACCACCCTACACATCGACAAGAAGGAAAACATTTCATTCGAGCTCTGTGCTTTCTACACTTAGTTGTCGCTAGCGGGCGAGGGGGCTAACACGGAATGCCAGCTTCCTCTGTACGCTTATTTCCATGCCAGGTGAAGCCATCTCTGAGGCTGTGGCTGGGCAGCACAAGCCAATGGGAGTTCGCCCCCGCTTCTGCGCAAGAACAAGAAGGGACGAAGTAAGTGTAGTGTAATGTGCAGCAGGGCGAAAATTCAGCCGAGGGCCAGCGAGTTAGAGATGCAGCTGGTGGAGTGACAAATCAGGTGGCAGGCCTGAAGCTGGAATTAGTATTCCAAATGCCATGCCAGAACAAAGGTTTGCGCTTTGAATGTGCTGGTTCAGGTGTCGCCGGACATGCATCTTCGCAAGTTGCCAGTGCTGTCGAAGGCCATGGTACAGACTGTGTCGTGTTACGTTGACCACGCGTAGTTGCTCAGAGAGCCATGGGAGCCAAAGGTGTCAGGGACCACGCTGCCGCCTGACCTGCATCAAGGTACCAAGCCGCGATTCTGCTGTCAGTGTCGGTGATCGAAGGTGCAGCAAAAGCAGCGGATGGAGAAGGTTGCGGACCAGTTCACAGATCTCATGGAGGCGGAGTCCAGGTTGAACAGCCGCTGTCCAGGACATTGGCTGTCCCCTCGATTCTGTGGCTGAGAAGCTCATCGAAGCCCACCATTTCGCAGGGCTTCCTCAAGAGAAAGCTGTACAAACTTCTAGTTCTTCTCGTGGACAAGATCCCCGGTATTCTCAAGACAGCGGGCCGCTCGGAAACCTTTAGGGCATGCCTCCAACAGCTGCCCTTTCTGTGCCGCTGGAAGGTCTTGGAAGACCCTGAGATGCCATCTCGAGTGCAGAGAGCCCAGGACGCAAGCTTAGGCTTGCAAAGGGCGACACTTCGGTCTTCGCCTTCGCCGCTGCAGGATGCTGCAGTTGATGCTGTCTGGCCGGATGTGCGGCAGGCGGAGACTGCTAGGGGAAGCTCTGGTGGTCGGCTGGCCTCGCTTGGCAGGAAATCATGTGGGAACTGGCCGTGCGACTGGGTAAAGATTCGAAAGATCATGATAATGCGCCGGGATTGGCGGTGACTAAAGTGAGCCAAAACAGGGTGGTTTCGCTTGCTTTCAGCACAATCCTTGGGGTTAACCCAGGACCGTGGATGGCAGGGCAGCGGACCAGCCAAAGGCGGTTGATGGACTCTCACTCCTGTTGGTCTTGAGAAACATCTTCATTGTTGCAGGAACAAGGCTGCATTTGTTGTTCTTTTCTCAGATACCATCTTTATCCTTTCGACCGAGGCGTCGACACGCACGAGACATGAGTGGGTCCTGGCCGTAGTGAAGTAATGACTGCACAGGATTCTGGGGACGGCTGCGAGATCCAGTGTGGAATTTCAGATGCAAATAGGAACGAACTAAATCACCTCGCTTCCTGCAACAGACTAAGGATACTCTTCACGATTGTCGGCCTTCTGCCTGTTTATGGCATCAGCCCAGGTGTGTCTTAGCTGAGGTTTGCCTCAAGCTTGGGACTGAAATGTTGAACCATTTCCAAATTCTGCGGCATTGTGCTCAGATATTCTTGTTGATCTTCCTCATTGTCGACAAAACCGATGAGTTCCAGCTCGTATCCTTCATACTTGAGTTCAAGGACTGGCTTGTCCTGTTCCGCTTCGGCGAATCTGCGTCTCCCGAAGACTGTTGTGGGTCTGCTGGAGATGGCTTTTCCAGGGCTTCCAGTACCTCACACAGGGCCTTGTGCGCAGCTTGATGGGCAGCTCCCTCGGTTGTGCCAGAGTCTCCGAGCCTGCAGCTACAGCCCCATGTGTGCCGTGGTTTCGAACTTTAAGGCTACTTTTTGTACCTGAATTGCGTCACCGCACCCGGGCAAGAGGAGGATTTTTGTGCTACAAATGGACCTGGCTCCGTCGCTCCGACCTTGATTGTCTTGGTGCAAGACTCAGGGTCACAAAGCCTTTGACTACTAGTACGCGAAGCGACGGCCCTCAACAGACTTTTGCAGGTTGGATATTTGCTTCAAGTAGTTTTGGTTTGGAGCTTGTCTGCACTTGGAAGATGTCGAGGCCCAGTTCAGCAGACCAAGCCAGGACATGAGCTTCACATGCTGAGGACGGCCTTTGTGCTCCTACCTTTCTCTTCAAGGAAAGGGCGATCAACGCTGTCTGGCCATCTGGTTCCTGATCTGCAGTGAGTGGGGAACATGCTTAAAGGACGGGCCGCATTGAAGCATCGGTCCTCCCCGGCTGGAACTGGACGCATCCAGGAGGTGTGCCCCTCCTGTTGAAGCTTATTTCGGTTGCTTGGGCTTGAGCTAAATGCCTTTGGCATCCTTGACACTTACAAATTTACACGCTACTGAAGCAATTTGCTGGGTGTTCTGCTCGAGTCTTCCCTCTGCCGCTTGGTGCTTGAGGAGCATGAAAACATCAGGACAAGTTTCGCAATTGCGCGGCCCAGGATGAACCTCTTCCGCACCGTTCAAAGCAACGGGGTGGATACATAAGTCGCTTGACCGACATTAGGACCTGGTCATATCTTTTCCAAGCAAAAAGGTCCGGCAAGAGATTGCAAGCTGATTTCAATGATTTCATTCTTACATGAGTGCTCTCCAAGTTTATCTTCTGTGGTATGACCTGTTGACCTTCGTCGTCTGTGCTGGGGCACTGGTTTACGTGCTACAGCTGCGAGAATGGTTGCTCGACGACTGGATGGTCAAACATGCAGCTCGGACAAGTGGCGAAATCCGCTCTGCTGTTTCTCACAACACTGGCGGAACGCAGGCGTTTACATATCACAGCCAAGGCGTTCTTTGCTATCCAAATGGTCCACGGCTACTTGTCCATGCCTTTCTTTTTCTTTACGATCCCACTGATCAGGCCTTTTGCACAAGATCCGTTCGTGTGAGTTCGGCAAGAGTGCTCGGTGCCTCGTTTTCGGAACCAGCTACAGCCGCAGGAATGTTCTGAGCCACACAGCAGGGGGCTTGGTGCTTGAGGAGTAAAGTGCGGCAACGTCTCGGTCACGTTGTTCTTGCTTGAAATCGAGCGCCTGCGGCGAATGAGCGGTACGCTCCCCAAAGTTGTGCGCGGATAAATTGGATCGGGTCGGGGCGCTAGCGAGGACACTTCGCTAAAAACCAATCGCTGATGATGCATGCCGTGTAAGTGCTGGAACGACAAAAGAAGAACAGGCGATTCGTTCGTACCGTGAGGAGGGGTCAGCAGTACGAAAGAGGTAGGCACGGTTGAGTCGCATTGAGGGCCGGTCAGACGTAAACGACCGCAAGTGGGGAGGCCTGTGGAAGTGATAGCACTGCAGGAAGTACAGCGATTTTGCGTAACCGCGCTTGTCTGGGGGCAAACAGCGTCATTTCGTCGGTCTTGAGCATTGGGGGGCTCAGACAAGCTTTCAGGCTTTGGGAGTCGGAGAGTATAGACTGGGCTTTGTATGCTTGGCGGTCTCTGTGTTAAGCATGCCGGGACTTGAAATCTGCCCCTGGGTCTTTAGCTAGGGTTCAGCGGAGCGGTGGTAGGCTTTTGAAGCTTGGTGTGTGTGTGTGTGTGTGTGTGTGTGTGTGTGTGTGTGTGTGTGTGTGTGTGTGAACCTCCCTAGTACATGGGAGCAGAGGGTCACTCCTACACTGCTTGCAATTTTGCTTTGCAACACAATCAGACATTTGACACTCAACGATTCAAATGTTGCAGGGGGATCAGGCTTCCAGTGACTGACCTGATCCAACGAAGCTAGGTCACTGGAAGGGAAGTGATTGAGGACGCTCAGTCATGTACCTGCGCATTTTCGGCAGCCCCCTGTGGTGCCAAGATTAGTGTGAGGACAGGCCCCCTGTGGTGTCCAGATTATTCAAACAAGTTGTACGGTTGCCACAATCTGACAAACTTTTACAACATGAACAACATGCCTCTCTTTTTCCTCTTGCACTCGTACTCTTGGCCGAATCCATCAGTGTGATGAGCGTGGGTCGATGAGACTCCAGAGCAACGGCTTTCCGTCATGGCGCCGTGGTGACCCTCCGGGGAGACCGGTGATGAACCGGGTGTTCAGCCTTCGTTCAGATCGTTCAGAATCTCCCGATGCTACTTTATCTCTCTCTCTGATGCCTGCATGTGAGTCTGACATGAGTGCAGTTGCGGTAACCGACGTCTAGTGCAGTAACCGTCCGCTAATGCACAGGTTCTCTCTATTCTGCCCCGGGGTTTTTCACTTCTCTATTCCTCAGGGACTGCAAGGGCATGTGCATCTGTCATGAGTGCAGACGTGGTAAAGATGTCTACAGCAAGTGAAGCAGCGCTCTCTCCGGAGAGTACTCGGCCCTCCACCTTCCTTCTCTCCGTCTACGACCTCTCAAATCAGTCCAGCAGGGACAATCAGGACAGCCTGCACTTTGCTTGTGCAACTGTGTGCGTTTCACCCGCTTCGTTGCAGCTATGTGGCCGGAACATTTTGCCGCGCAGCCACCAGCAACACCATATGCACCAACAGCCCGACCGGTGCTTAATCAATTTCACCAGAACACCTGGGTGCCGCAGTCTCAAAGCTACCCAGCCACGATGCCAACCGGCATTGCTACCACTCAGCAGCCCACACTGCCAACACAACCCACTACGATTCCTCTTGAGCAAACACACGGCTTCCCCATGATGCCGTGCGGACACACCGCTCCTATCCCACAGCATCCGACAATCTATGCACATCTCAGCACACCACAACCCCAGATGCCACAACAACCACCACCTCAGCAATTCATGCCACAACAACCCACACCGCTCATGAATCCTGCACTTGTGCCTGCCCATCCAACAGCTTTTCCCATGAGCCTTTCCGCTTCAACACAGCATCAGGCCCAACCTACTACATTCAACTTTCCTTTTGCACCACTTGCCCCACAACCACAACTTGCACCCTGCCATCTCCCTCCCACACAGCCCGTTCAACAACCCCACATACCGCCGCCAACAACAATTCAACAAGCTCCACAACCCCATCCCACTAGTGTTCCCACTGCCGATGCGGCATACACTGCCCCGCAGACACCGGCAATGACGCCCCAACAGCAACAACCAACAAACACAGCCAATACCCCTTCTGTCAACACAGTACCACCCGCACAACCACCACCACCCCCAGCTACAGGATCGGCAGACACTGACCCGCTCGCAGCCCGTACTTCCTCCCATCATCCTCCGCTGCCACGCAGACGACGGCATTCTCCCACACGCAGCAGAACTCGCACCGCGAGCACTAGACGCCGTCGACACACGCGCAGCCGAGCACGGCCGGCAAGCAGCGGCAGACAGCACCGCCGACGCAGACACCATCGATCCCGCGACACTCGCAGAAGTCGTTCTCGCAGGGACACCAGGCGTGCTTCATCGACGCCACCTCGGACCTCGGTGGTGCTCCGCAGCTATTCTACAGTGCGTGATGATGATGCCAACAAGTGGCATTACAGAGCAACACAGCCACGTCAAAGGCCACCTACCCCACCCAAGGTCCCACAAAAAACATTGGCTTCACAGGTTCAGCGCATCGCCCTCCGCATCCAGGGCAACCAAGCCGCACAACAGCAGCCCCCGACAAGCCAGGGCACATCTTCGCGCCAACAGCTTCGGCACAATCCCCCCAGCTCTGTTCGGACACCTGCTCCGACCTACGATGCATCCACAACAGCTGCCCCATCGGGTCAGCCAACCCTCGAACAACTGGGCAAACTGAGCAGACCACCACAGATTGATGTGGCGCCTTTCTCTGAGCTTTATGATCATGAAAAGCCGACCCCCCACGCTGTCGACTTGGAGGAAGCGCACAAACTCGCCAAAACTTTGGGCGAGATAGCTGCTGACAGCGATTTCAGGCAGGAGACTTTAACCGATTTCGCGCATGCCGTATTACAGTCGGGCACGCGCTCAGCGTGCAACGAATTGGGAGCAACGCTGACGCCAATATCGGACGGCGTGCATACTATGTTATTCATCCCGTGGGCTGGTGAGACTCGCAGAGCATTCGGCACTCGTGCCACTGACCCACCAGGGGAAACATACATCTACACCGCCGGACACGGCACGAGCATTGCAAGTGCCGCACGCATAATGCGTGAGGACTTGGTCCGCCCAAGTTCTATCAGCCATTGCTTCGACGACAAGTCCTATCCACCCATTCCCTCTTGCGTCATATACGGGAGTGCAACCCCTGGAGATGTGTCGGAGAGCACGGTACATATAATTACCGATCAATGTACGCGGCGGCCCAAGGGCCAACAGGGCGTGATCGTCATCGGGACAATACGGACTAAGTATCAGCATTACAAGATGACGTATCGGGACATGTACAGAGAAGCCTACATCGTGGGGCGAAAGGGTGTTGTACGGACCCCGGAGAAGTGGGGATTCCATTCCGGGCACTTCAGCATTGTTGGATTCGGCCTCATTCAGTGATGTTGATTTTTTCTTATGTTTCTTCCTGCAACTCTTTAGTACTTTTCTTCCAGGCCTGAATCCCTGTACACATAGTCGTCTGCAATAAGGCATTTGCTCCGACCTCGCTTTTGAGCCAAAGAAGACTCGATGCAACTGCATGCTGGTTGCCTTGCACAAGTTGATGTTGACGCTCAACCCAACCGGGTTGAACATGCATGTTTCATGTGCAGCTTTTGCAGCCACAGGCAACTGTAGTGCCCCACTGTGCAATCATGTACAAGCCGACACAGCCTCAGTGGCATACAACAATGCCAACAGGCATCATCGGCACAGCAATCAGCACCGTGCAGAGACAAGCAACCTCGACCAGCAATACTCCATTGCACCCGATCTCCCCACCACCAGGGATACACAATATCCCACCACACACCTCCTCACCAATCCCGACTACTTGGGGTCCGGCTCACATCTCCAGCCACAACAACACGTTCCCACCTTTCCCTCCACCCCCTCCCCCACCCCAACAGTTTCCCGGACCAGTTCCACCCACCACATTACCAATCCCCACTCCTGCTACTCCCCAACACACATTTGTGAGTCCATCTCCGATGACGACTCGAAACCCCAGCTTTTCGTCACACACATTACCTCAAGCCACCGTCGCAACCCAACAACAGCAACACCCCAACCCCACGCCTGCAAATCCCCAGATACCAAACGACTTTGTTCAAACACCGGAGCATTGGGACAACAGGCAGCTTTTTGGCCTCAACCTCCCCAAACACATTCAATCTACACCACATTCAGTGCATAACCGCACAGCAGGCATGCCAATCGCAACAGCACCATTGGTCGCATTTTTGCGACACAATTGGTCTTCGTACTGGCTACGGTACGCTGCGCATGGCTTCGACATTCATCTCACATGCAGCAAACACGTCAGCGAAGCCGTTTTCACCACTGAACTTATGGGTCAACTCCGAGCAAGGAGAATTGATCTGGACCAAGCGGCCACTGCATTCTGCTGGCAAGAAAAGCTCACACTTGCCAAACGACCAGCAATGTCACACCTTATTAAGGAATTGGTGTTGTACCTGCAGGAGCTGCAGGACCAATACAACGATGGCAACAAAAAGGACAAGCAAAACGCCAAAGCAGACACCGAAAACACACAATCGCAACCCACCGAATCTCCAACACCACCACAATCCAGCAAACCACAACCTCATCTCCCACTCCAACCTTCGCAGTCGACAGAGACTGACACTCTGGCGGCCCATCGTATCAGCGAACTTGAAGCACGACTTTCAACAGCACTGGAGACAATTGAAACTCTCCGTGCGCCGGAAGCACACAATGCGGCCCCCAGCACACCAGCATCAAAGAAACCAAAACAATCCACCACTCCCAGCACTCCGATAAACACGCCCTCCCCACCACCTCTCTCAGTTTCCACAATCGAGATCTCCCCCACCACAACCACACGTGGACAAAAACGAGCCACCATCGATGATCCTACACACACTGACACCAGGCCTACCACTGAGAGCCTATCCCCATTCACCAC